GAGCTGCTATTATTATCCAAATACAGTGTATTTGGTTGAACAATTCAGTTTGGATTATGAGCATTGTGATTTCTTATTAAAAACTTGCAATACATGAAATTGCTGAGAGGTTGAATTCGCTAAAATGATGATGATGGTTTGCCATTTTTAGCTTTTTGGATTCTATCGACGATATACACACGACGAGTGCATTATTAAATTGTTTTTGTTGCACAGACACAGAGAGCTTTTCAACGGGCAAACAGGCAGCAGCAGCAGCGGCGACAACAACTCAAGTACAATGCAGTGTCAATAAAAGCAAGAGTATGTTGTTTAGCATGATCGACATAAGCACTCTTTCATATCCCATATATACATATATCCGCATAAGGGTGAATGCATTACGTGTAGATGTTTTGTAATTCGTGCATCGATTACGTATGAATCTTTTTCTCTGTCATACGGTATATAATAGGAATAAAAACGAAGAAAAAAAAATCAATGCTATTTACAATGTGAACACAAAGCCGCACATACATTTCATCGCATACGCTAAAATGAACAAAAATCAAATACACTCAAGCAAATGTTTAGTCAATAATTGCAAAGTCAAAATAAAATTGAAACTTTGTAAACTTGAAAATCAATTAAGATAAATCCGTTGTTTTGATGACAAACGAATTTTTGTTGTCAATCATTTTGTTAAAAGTTTGGCCAAAATGTCTAAACCAATATTATGAAATAGTCATTGTATTTATTTTTCTCAGTGCGCGCACAGTTACGATTGATAGACATTTGCTATTTACTTGTGGACACGACGACGACGACCAACTAGAGACACACACAAAGAGAGTAGTGTAAAGCGTATATACAGCGATCCACTTGAACTGTCGTCGTCCTCGTCATCATCATATGCACGGGTTCGTCTGAACCTTATTACATAGAGTCGCCGCCGACACTGACAACGACGACGACGACAGTAACGTATACATAGCTAGTGACTGGTGCGAATGTAGCACGACGTATGTTATTTTAGCCCATGTTCCATACTATATTTGGCATATAGCATGTATAATATTTGAATGTTCAGCATTTATCGTATTCAGTCAGTGCGCGAATGAACATTACACGTAAACGTTCTATATATTTAATGACTATATATACAACTAAGTGGAACACACGAACGTAGTAAAAATCGGTTTTGTGCAAGAGAAGAGATAGCGACCGTGCCGATTGTGAGTGAATGTGTTTGGCTTTGGCTTTGGCCGAGCAAGTGAGTGAGAGCTTGCGCTTTGGCATTGTATATGTGTGTCTGTGGCAACGCAGAATGCTACATATATATATATATCGAAAATCGGTGTTATGGAGAAAAAACAGCTGATAAATTGTTGTGTCAGAAAGTCTTTTGATAATACATAAGGTGAAACGAGTTGCAACATTGTCGTCGTTGTTGTTGTTGTTATTTTTTATTATTTCTCTCGTTGTTGCTTTTTGTCATTGTCTATTTGCCATTTGGTGAATATGTGTATTGTTGCGAATAAGAGAGGGAGAGCGATAGATAGATGGAGACTCGCACTTATAATACTTGCTGATGATGATGCTTACGTTCTTGATTTCATTTTGAGTATCATGTGCGATGTGCTGTTTGTATACATTTGCTCTTTGTCCTAACACATAACATGCTACGTTCAATTTCATGCCATCGTTTCCGTTGACATTCAACGATCGCCCGTTTGTTTGTGAGTATATGCGCCGTCTTTGTTTTTTTTTTCACTCCTCAATCGCTTTGCTGTGTGTTTTTATAATTGATATTGGTGTATAGATCTATTGCTGTTGATTGTTTTGTGTTTGTTGCTGCATAAAACAACTGATTGATGCCACATATTTACAATTCATCGGCATTCATTTTGGATACGTTGAAAATGCCATCGTTATTTTTTTATTTTCGGCATTTACCGTTTGCTACCGTTTGGCTCAGCAATTTTTCATGATTCTTTTGTCTGTCGATGTCTCTGTCTCTCTGTTTATATGATTTTATGCACACTTTTTCGTTCCGCATTCTATCCATACTATTTTGCATCCTTAGTTGATTTATTGCAATGGAATTGAATGCAATTGTTATAGCCGCGAATGTGAACTAATAAATTTTTATAATTGCTCGGTAATTGTTTTCTTCGTTTCGCAAGTTAAATTCATATGCCAATATTTTCCTCACTTTTTCTCCATCGACGCCGTACTCGACTCGGTTTTAAAAGGTAGCACACAGTACATTAGTGCCGTTTCATGTTTCTTGTGCATGGTAACATTTTCTCCATTCTGCAATTACCGTTTATTTATTCAACTTATATTGCATTTTCGTTCGTTCCAAAAATGGACATTCATATTTGATTATATTTGCCAATTTTCCAAACTTTATTACCGCTTCTTCTTATTCTTCTTTCCTTCCATTTGCTTGCTCACTCACTCGTTCACTCGCTCTCTCCATATATATATATTATGTTCTTGTTTTTGCCATTTATTACGAAATAAGTTTGTTTTTATACGTCATTTATTTTTATACTTACTGCAGTGTAAGTTGTTGTGTATTTCATTTTATACGGTCTCTCATAATTATTTCGACGAATCATCTGCTGTAGAGCATTTTTATGACAGTGTTTAATACGCTGATTCCTCGATATATAAATATATATATTTTACAGGTTTCTTCTTTCATTTTAGCTCACATTCTCTCTCTAGTTGTGTCAGTTCACTTCAGTTCGAATCAATTTTATATCACACATATTTTCTATGCATTATCTACGTCGTTGAATTTGTTGTCTTTTTTTTTCGCTTGAGAAATTCAACCATAAGTTGCTAGATCATTGCTAATTTATCAGCTCCTTGATCTGCAACAACTTTGTTTGGTATTTGGTTTTGTTGTCCAAATGGCAGCGCTAAAAAAATGATTGGAATCTATTTTTGTTTGTGAAAGAAAGAGACCTTGATATTTTTGCATCGAAATTCATGAACCGAAAAAGAAGTAAAACAACACCAACATACTCAATCGTTTGCAAACATTACAATTTAATTGAAAATTTACGATTTGATCGCTTTATTGGCTTTGAAATGTTCAATGTTCATAACTGTACATGGTCACATCGGTAAATAAAATACCATATAACTCAAAACAGACGTTTGATTTGCAATTGAAACGAAAACGAAACAAAACGCCAATATTGAATTTGTAACAAAAGAAACAACAAGACGATTCGAGAATCCTGTGGTAGAGAAGCATGTAGTCACATAGAGAATGGCTTAATTGACCAAAATTTATGCGTCGGCTTCACGACATGATGATGCAAATCCACACTAAGCGTGTCGTGTTGCGATACCGATTGCTCTCGGATGAGCTAATGCAAGTGCAATAAGATTAACTGGCACGTCGCTCGATGAAGGGAAAGCAGCGAAATAACATTGGTGATGAGGAGAACAAAAATTGGAAAATTACATGTAGCTGAAATGAAGAAAATGTATGTGAATGTGTAACATGAGTGTGTAATGTTCCATAATTTCAATAAATAGATGGCACCAACACTTGATGCCACCAGAAAACGGCAATCATCATTAGTGCATATAATATATAATATATAATATATATACATTTTTTTTATTCAAACAAGAAGTTTATCTCTGTTGGTATTGCAAAACACTGCTGCTGCTGGTGAACCATGCTGTCATGCTTCTTGTTTTTATTTTCTTATGCGTCCATAGATCTTCACTAAAATTGAGCTGATAAACTGATACCAATAAATGATATAAGCTCTCCTTCACTCTATTTCATTTACTCATAGAACGCATGAATGCGGTATTCTCTTTTAGCCATTTCATTCACTCATTCGCTTGCTCACTCTCTATCTCCGTGCGTGCGTGTGTGTGTTTATTATAAATTTGTGGCTGATGAATACAAGCCAAATGGATATTTTTCATTAAAACAAATTTATAATTCACGATGGAATTTTTATTAGAGCCATATAAAATGTGAGCTACGCTCGTTGGTTCAATCGCGTGCGCCCGCTCGTTCTCTGCGAAGCTATAAACAGGAAACTTGCACGAGCAAACGCAAATATATCGGCTCAAGTTGACGAGAACAGCAGAAGCGTTACATAGTTTGTATGGCCCCATCATAATACAGTTGTTGTTGTTTTGTGTTTTATTTAGATGCTTCAGTTTTCTGTGAGTGCGACTCCATTGCATATAAAACATTAAAATAAAATTAACGACGCTCGACCCTTCTATGTCTTTCTCACAATGTGTCGCATATCTCTTTTACACACTGTCCACAACACACACACACAGAGAGAGAAACAGATCCACTTGATATTCTCTCCTATCATCAAAAGAGGATGCGTTAAAAAAACCATGTCTTCCTTGCACTCAACTTCTCGTCATGACAACCGAATGCACAACATAATTGGCAGTAATACATTTATTTTTCACAAATACGCTTCCAGATATTATGTCTTCGATACAGTCCCATACCGAAACAGTGCCAAAATGCGTCTCATAAATGCCAATGGTTTTTTGAGCCATATAATAGCAGGCATCGCAAACACCATAAAAAAAACTTTTGCAATCAATTCTTCACCGTTAAAAATACACAAACACACACACACACACCCAAAATCTCCACAAGACCAAAACAATAATCGCAAATATCGCATAAACTGCATTATTTATACTCAATACATATCATAATACCGAATGACAATACCATTTTGTAATAAATTTCATCGCTAGTTAAATGCGAACTTTTCTGAACTAGTAAACAGTAAACCAACACTACAAACATACACATCAATCGATTTTGTTGAAATGCTAATTGAAAAAAAATTAATTAAATATTCGCTTGAATTTAATTTGGTAATTTTGAAAATGTCGCCATATGCATTTTCACCACAGCAAACAATGAATGGTGAATAGCACTTGATTATATTCAACATAGATGTCACTGTGCATGATATTCACCGTGATCAATGCTTTTGCATGCGCTTCATATTGAACTGTCAAAGTCCAATAACATTTCATTTGCCGAAGTCAAAAGAAACGTTTTTAGTGCGATTTCCATAAAATAAAACAAATACATTTGATTTGTTGACGAAATAGACATTTGAAGTATCAAATTACCATGGATGATGAAGCTGAAACTTACAAATTATGGAGAATTCGTAAAACTGTTATGCAGGTTTGTGTGAATGATTTACAATTTACTAACCTTAAAACGTGCCGAAACACTTCGACAGAAGAATAATTGAATTTGTTCAGCAAAAATTGAGGTTTTCCCGTTTTTCAATTTTCAGTTAAGCCATGATCGTGGCTATCTCGTAACCCAAGACGAATTGGATCAAACGCTGGACCAATTCAAGGAATCATTTGGTGATAAGCCAAGGTATGTCACACACACACTATAAATACCTTTTCAAATTGTATACTTATATATTTTGTGATTTTATCTCGTTTGTGCAGTGAAAAGCGTCCAGCTCGTTCGGATTTGATTGTTTTGGTGGCTCACAACGATGATCCAACGGATCAAATGTTCGTTTTCTTCCCCGAAGAACCGAAAATTGGCATCAAAACCATTAAAACATACTGTACCCGGATGCAAGAAGAAAATATTCATCGTGCCATTGTGGTCGTTCAACAGGGCATGACACCATCAGCGAAACAATCACTGGTTGACATGGCACCGAAATACATTTTGGAACAATTTCTGGAATCGGAATTACTAATCAACATTACCGAACATGAATTGGTACCGGAACATGTTGTTATGACACCCGAAGAAAAACAAGAGCTATTGGCTCGTTACAAATTGAAAGAGAACATGTTGATGCGTATTCAAGCTGGTGATCCGGTTGCACGATATTTTGGTTTGAAACGTGGCCAAGTGGTGAAAATTATTCGTCCATCGGAAACCGCCGGTCGTTATATTTCCTATCGTTTAGTGTGCTAATTTTATATATTTAAGACATTTTTATAGACTCGATTCAATTTAAGGCATTCAATACATTACCAATTTGTCTTTGATGAAATAAATTAAAACAAGAAATATTGAAGAAATTGTAAAAAAAATCGCTTTCATTTTTCATTTGATGCCGTTTCAACTATTTATTCTGATTTTACTTCAACAGCAATGATAATTCTCTGCAAAATTCAAAGCATATTCAACAATTGTTGAATATAAACATTCAGCCATGCAACGCGCAAATGTGACAGCATTTTTTTGAGGTTATGTCGAACATCGGTTTTTGGTAGTATGTTAGAAACGAGCATATCAATACCGAGTGTTTTAAAATAAATTTCAACAATTTTCATGCTTTTCATATGAACTCTTCAACGGTTAAATGATCCTAAAAATCTCAAATTGGAATTAAATAAAAGACAATTGTTTTTTTTTTCATCCTCTTTTAATCAGTATACATAAAAAACAATCTGTTTCACAACAGAATCAGTACACTTAATCACGTTTGTACATCGATCGAATGTATGTAAAAATGAGTTTATTCTTGAGGAATTTCAATAGCACCGTCATTGATGTCATCGATGATATCGTGTGGTGGACGTCCATCAATAGTGCAGCCAATGTTTTGGGCTGTACCCAAGATTTCTTTAGCGGTTCCGCTCAATTCACGGGCCATTGAACGTGGACGCAATGTACGGGCAATGCTGATAATGTCATCCAATGTGATGTTGCCATTGTGTTTAACTGTGATGATAAGAGATTATATTTAGTGAAAATGAAACGAATAGACTTGCACAATTGAGTGAAAATGTCTCTACTTACTGTTCTTGACCTTCTTTCTGTCACGTGGTGGTTCTTTCAATGCCTTGATGATGAGTGAGGCAGCTGATGGAACGACTGAGATGGTGGCTTGACGATTTTGGATGGTCAAGCACACAGTGATTTTAAGACCCTTCCAGTCTCCGGTTGCTTTGGCAATATCATCACCAATTTTCTTTGGGGACTGTAAAACATCAAATGCAATTCATTAATTTTACGGCACTTTTATTTTGAGCACTTGTCATGCGCTAGCACAATAACACGCGGTCTTTTTTTCTCTTGTCAATTACAGAACCGAATGAAATAACAAATGATAGCTTACCAAACCCAATGGACCGATTTTTGGAGCAAGAGATGATGTGGCACCCACTTCTCCTCCAACACAACGGAGGTACACTAAACAGCGAACGGGAAAAAACAATCGAAACACATTATTTTTATGCACTCGTTTAACAGCAACATAACCAAACCCCCTCAACTGGTATGGTAGTTGGTATTTGCATAAAAATCCATTCGCGGTCAAAAAAATCACGAATTTCCCGTCACTTACCCTTTTTAACTTCAGTTGGATCGAACTTTGGTGGCATTTTTAATTTATTTTAAACGATTTAATCGTTACGATGACAAAGGATGATTAAGATTTTTTACGATATTCGGTGAGCACGATTACCGCGATCGAACTTATTGCATCGACGTACGATGTTGAAAAGAATGATGTCCGATTTGATTTTGACGTTTGTAGCGTTCAAATGTGTCAACGTGCTCGTTCGACACATACACACAAAATCGATGCGACAGATTCAATGGTCGATCACACAGATTTCGATTGTAGAATATTTATTTATTTTTATGCCGATTGAAAGTGTATTTTGAATGATTTTTGTGAATTTTACTTTTTTTTTTTTTGGGAAAAGAATAAAAAAAAAATTTTTGATAAAATGGAATGAGACAATTTAAATCATCTCAAGATCAACAGATGATACCTGGTGTGAATGGTCTCGTGTCATATACAAACACAAACCGGCTCTAGCGAAAGCGAAACGTTTCAATTTCTTCTTACAACGTTTCTCTTCTCTCACACAAACGCACACATGCAATCTCTCTTGAATGTACAATTTCTGATGAGAATGCACACATTCGAATTTCCGTCGGTCAACAGTACATCACAACATTTGTCAAAATTTAATTAGAAGATAGAAGACGAAAGAAGAGGACAGAAAACTATGTAACTACTTAGACAAAAACATTAAAAACACTTCCCTTTTTTTTCTTTCGTTTTGTTCGATTGATACACGCTAAGAAATATTATTATTATTTTTTTTCTTTCGTTCGGTTCTCTCTCTGTCGCTCATTTGATTTCGTTTCGTTGTGTGGTGACTTATGAGATTTAAAATTTTGTTTTCAGTTTCGTAATTGAATATCGCGAAAGTGTTCAAATTAAAAATCTATAATTTTTTGTTGCATATTTTTTTTATTGGTTCATGTGAAACATATCAGACATTGAGAGTGGATTTATAGCAAAATATGTTGAAATATTTGAATGGTACATTGAAACGACGACTGTTTAGTATGCAAAAGTTTTTTATAATTGGATTTTATGTGATATTTGAATAACGTTTGTTGATCACTCTAAAAGTTTTGTGTATTTCGCATCCAGATGAAAGTAAACAATTGATTTACGCATACAATTTGGCCATCGTTGAATTCACTGAAAATTTTATTGAAATTTAAGTTTAAAATTGCGGAGAGAAATTGTTTAAGAAATTCAACGTCATGAATACAACGAACACACACACACATACAATTCAAATGATGGACGAAAATCTGAACCATTGCCAGAAAGATGCATTAACTGGTTTCCTGAGCTGGCTTCTCCAAGGCGTATTAGCTGGTTTAGCTTTCACATGCCTAATTGGTACGAAACAATTTTCCGTCTTTATGTATTTATTTTTCTTCTTTTTTTTTCATTCACATTTCAATTTAGTTTAGTTTTTCTCATTCGCTTATCTCAAAGCACGCAGAAAAAGACTGTAAATTGTAAAAGCAACAACAGTATCATTTGATACGTATTTGTAATCAGTAATGATTGAAATTACGTAGATAGAAGTACAAGTGAATGTTGATCGATTTATATCAATTTATTGATCTCTATCTCTTTTTTTTCTCTTTCTCTCTGTCGGTATTTGAAATTTTCTGTTGCGTAAAGCCACATAATAATACGAATTTTTTTGCGCGCTTATTTCATTTTAGCAAAGAGATTTCGAGAGCCGCCTGGGATACGACGACCGTGGATAGTTTGGTGGTATGACACATCAAAGCAGGGAATCGGTGCTATTGTCATTCATTTGACAAATGTTTTACTAGCACCATTATTTCAAGGTGATCCATGCACTTGGTATGTGATCAATTTTCTGTTGGATTCAACGATTGGATTGTTAATTGTATTCATTGGAATTCGTTTCTGTCAATTTTTGAGCTTCTACAAAAAATGGCCGGCAATTAATTTTGGTGTTTACGGTAAGATTGTAAATAAACCATGTTGATTTTTCGTGTGTATTAAAATCAATCAATTGTGTATCGTTTTAGATGCGCCAAAATCCTGGATATACCAAACATGTATTTACATCGGCCTGATGGCATTGGTTAAGATAGCAACCACATTGTTTATACAATGGAAATTTTGGGAAAAAATCAAGAATCTTGTGCTATCACCGTTTTCAAATGAAAGTATCGAATTGATACTGGTAATGCTTGTCATTCCATTTTTTGTGAATTTACTGATATTTTGGGTAACCGACAATTTCCTAATGCGACACGATCATAATCAACAAAAACGCTCCTTTCTAATAAATTATGTGAGCAAATTTAATAAAGGCCAAAGCAATGGTTTCACAAATGGCAGCCCACCGAACATCAATGGCCAGGGATCGAATAATGTAAACGGTAAATTTGTTGGCGAAAGCAATTTATTTGAACGTGCCAAACAATATTGCACCAGTAGACTTGATATTGATAATAATTATAAACATCGTAGATTTAATGAATTAATTGATAACGATTCTGAATCGGATGCACTTCTTACAGGCGATGAACGTTTCGATGTTGAATTCACCGACGATGATTGCGTTGCATTGGAGCCACGTGATCCTCGACAGAATTTGTAGAAAACATGCATACATCATCATCATCATCATCATCATCATCACCACCATCATAATCCACATGTTCCACACTCTCATCTGTCGTCATACATTCTCAACATTCACATCAATTATCTCTATTAACCAACGCCCACCAAAAATGACCCACAACATATACATACAATAAAAACAAAACAGATACATTGTCAATTAAACACTGAAAAAAGGGGGCCGAAATTTTAATTAATCTTGAACTGTCACATTTTCAACGTTTTCATCAATTTACTCTATCATTCGTCAATGAGGCGGTACTTTTTTGTTGTAGAAAACCAAAGACAACTCGGAAAACATTCAACGGAGAACAAAAAAGCATATATAGAAATTGAAAGAAATCATCTATAATTCCGTTGAAATTGTAACCTTGAGATATTCTGTTGGATTGTACCGCAAATTGTTTTCGACAAAATATTTAAAAACCCAATGAAAAACGTGAAAATTCTTAAAAGTTTTGCAACAAATCATTGATAATTTCAAGAAAATGTTCGGTCCCTAAAATTGTTAATTATTAATCGCATCTATTGACCAATTGCATCGTGTACTTTTTTCGCCATCGAACTATAAAAACTAGATTAATCGAATGCAAAAATCAGTAAAACATATAAACTTTCATCAATTGTAAAGGTGCTATTAACACTGAAAGAAACCGAATATAATTGTATGATAATAAATTTTATATAAATAATTTAAGGTAAAATGTCATTCAGACAAAATAGAATTTATACTTCAGATTACCTTTTCCGTGTCATGTCAATCTGTTCGGCCATACAATCTGTTTGTATGAAGATTTTGTATAAAAAAAAATCTCTTAGCTTATGAAATTAAACTTAATCTCACACCCGAATTAATTGTAAAAAAATCTTTCAAGGGATTAATGGAATATGAATTGCATCTGACTGAATGCGGCGCTTAAAAAGTGGCAAAATAAGTTAAAAGAAAATTTCAACTATTAAACATGAATTTTTTATATTATAAAGGCATGTTTTATAAGTTGAAAAAAAAGAAAAAGTAAAAAAAACGTAATAGTAGATTCTGATGTAAATTTTAATTGAATTTTTTTTGGAATCATCTACTGGAATATTAAACAGTGTTAAATTATAATTAATTGATATTGAGATTAAATGGCTGTGTGCGACTTTTCACTTTTAAAATCGAGAATGCGTAAAGAAACGAAAGTAATTTAATTTTTAGCCTTTTTTATATCGATTTATCAAAAAATGAACTTACATCGAATGAAAAATGCCCAAATATTTGATAAATAAATAAAAATCGAAAAATTTACCTGAACATACTTCCAGTATACCCTGAATTTTTCTTAAAGGTTCAGTTTTTTTTTTAAATACTATTGTTAAGAGTAATTCTATTAGATATGTATATAGAATGTATAAAAATAATTTGTATATTTTGTTAATGACCTCTTGATCATAGGTTAAAATGATTTTAAGGTAAATACAAATGATCTTCGTTAATGGTCAATTCCATTGTGGTGAAAAAAAGTTTTTTTTTTGTAAAAATTGTTTTCGTTTTTTGTGTAAAGTTGTATGAAAGCAAAAATTGAAATAAAAAAATGAATATTTTTCATCAGAGAGAGAGTAGAAAAAATACATTGCGACGGCTTTATTTGAAATGTTTTGTGTGTTACTCTTTATAGATGACAACAAAAACCTTTCTCATCACTTAAAGGTGATGTTTTGCCATGCCAAAGATATGTGCATTGCAGAAAATATTTATAACTTGAGAATAAAAGTGATTGGCCCCGCTCTCTCTCTCTATATATATATAATATATATCTGTAAATAGCCATGCATGTAGCAAAACTGAAAAACCTGTTGATCATCGCTGAATTCTTTTTTCAAATACATCACATAGCATTTGTATACAACACTAACAAAAGGTATTGATACATTGTTGCGGCCAACAAACGGTAGAACGATCACTGTGGAAGAAAAAAAAAGTCGCTACCAACACGCATGCAGTGCGAATGAAATATGTTGCCAATGTATTGCTTTTTTATGAATGAGAGAGTTTAGTTGGTATGTTGCTATCGTGCACATTGAACTTGAGCATTACCATTCTTCTGGCATTTTGACACGAAGACTTCATCTTGTGTGTCAATTTTTGTTGTGTTGTAAATTTTGTTCTTGCTGTCAACAGTTGTTGATATTTTTGCATTTAATTTATCAACATTTACTTCATTTTCATGATTTCATTTTAAAATCGACACTGGATAGAAAATACATCCAAACCGTCGTGAAATTCGGTAAGTATATTTTAAGTGCACTAAGAACAATTGTGAATTGTGAAGATCGAAAGAATTTTGGATGTAGTGCTAATGGAATTGATGCATTATTTTTTTTTCAATTATCGTCTCAATGTGACAAACAGAAAGTTCATCAACTTAATCATCGTCATGAATAAAGTTGGGTAAAAATTGTGTAAAAAGAATGTTTTTACATAAAAAAACAAAGATTCTTTTTTAAAATGTTCACTTTGATAAAAACTATATAAAATGAGATTAGGTAACTTTACAGTTTTGGAAGTTCGTACAGTTTTTTTTTTAAATACTAATTCGTATGCAACTAATGTTCTGATAATAAAATTCCATAACCGGTTTTTTCGATCGTTTGACACATTTTTCTATTCACATCATGCATAATCATAACGTATGCTGATTTCATCTATGTTTTTTTTTCTCTTCTTTTTCATCCTGTATTTTGAATGATCGACTGCGAAAATCAGTTGATGAATAATCGTCTGCATTGTTAGTGTCAGTTGTCAAGTGAAGCGAATAGACGTTAATATGGCTCAATCGAATGGAAAAACGGTACTTGTGACGGGCGGAGCTGGTTACATTGGTTCACATTGTGTTGTTACTCTACAAGAGGCTGGCTACAAAGTCATTGCATTGGATAATTTTGCCAATTCAGTCGATGATGGATGCGATGGATCAATTGCACTTAAACGAGTTGAAAAAATTACCGGTGAACCGGTCACGTTCTATAAATGTGATCTATTGGATACGGTTTATTTGGAGAGAATTTTCCAAAATGTAAGTTTCAAATTTCAACAACAGCATAGTATATTCGATTTCATGATGATTTTATTGTAATTGTTTAGCATCAAATTGATTCGGTAATTCACTTTGCTGCAATGAAGGCGGTCGGTGAATCGATGCAATATCCCATGTTATACTATAAAAACAACATTATTGGCATGATCAATTTGTTGGAAATCATGAAAAAGTATAATATTTACAATTTGGTTTTTTCGAGCTCGTGTACGGTTTATGGTGAACCAGAAAAATTACCAATCACCGAAGAGAAACGAATTGGTCAAAGCATCACCAATGTATATGGTCGCACGAAATTTTTCATCGAAGAAATTTTAAAAGATGTTACCAATTCGGATGATAAATGGAATATAATTGCATTGCGCTATTTTAATCCGGTCGGTGCACATGGATCCGGTCTCATCGGTGAAGATCCAACCAAACAATTTACAAATTTGATGCCGTTTATTAGCCAAGTGGCGATGGGCAAAAAAGAGAAACTCACCATTTTCGGAAATGATTACGATACACCAGATGGTACTGGCATTCGTGATTATATTCACGTCATGGATCTAGCCAGCGGGTAGGGAAAAAATTATGATTCATTCTAATCTGACCTTTTATTTCGTGTTTTTTTTTCTCGCGATTTTTGTTTATTGAAATGCCAACATTGTTTTTAACAATCATTTTAAATTTTTAGTCATGTTGCCGCCCTCCACAAACTCGAAAAGTCACATATTCAAATTAAGGTATACATTTTTATACATATATTTTTTTCTTGTTCTTTGATAAAAATCGATCTAAAAAACTGCCACTTTTTTGCTCTCTAATGTAGGCCTACAATTTGGGTACTGGTCGTGGTGTATCGGTTTTGGAACTGATCAAAACGTTTGAGCAAACGAATAATGTTAAAGTTCCATTTACATTTGAGGCTCGTCGACACGGTGACATCTCCACGATGTATGCGGATCCGTAAGTGGCAATATTGCAGCACAATTTCAACTCTGATGCTTATGATTTCACTTAATTTTCACAGTTCATTGGCCGAACGTGAGCTGGGATGGAAGGCGACCCGTTCAATTCAAGAGATGTGCTCTGACTTTTGGCGATGGCAAACTATGAACCCCGTTGGCTATAAAACCGTTTTAACAAATGGTCACAACCACTAAACGACTCTTTTCATTCCTTAACGGCATGTAATTCGTGTACGTCTTTCGCATTTTCTGCATTGAATAATTGTAAATGTTGTAGTTTTAAAACTTCCAAGCCGATTGATGTACAATTTGGCAATAAATATCTAGCAAATATCTCTAAACTCGAAATATCACAGTCCGATCCACGCATATACGGTATAAAAAGATCTGCAAAAAAAAACATAAATTATAAACCCATAAATTCTGAATATACAATAAAACCTAAGAATATATACGTAATTCAAAATAGTTTTTTTTTCTTACCTTGAAGTGGTGGTTTGTTCGAATGTATTGCACTTGGAACACTGTATATCAACTTTTCGTCTGGAATGCTGTTGAAATTATAAGAAGAATCTTCGTGACAGGCAATGAAAATCCGTTCAAATGGCTGCTTTTTCAATGGCAAATCAAATTCACATATAGTTTCACCATATTTTGTGACCTATTTTTATAATATAAGGAATTTTTGTTGTAAAAAAATGGTCGAAAAACCAAAAAATATTCCATGAAATGTACCTTTATCCAAAACCATGTGGCCAATAGTTTCAATTTCCATTTGGGTAGAAAAGTCTGCTGGACAGCTTGAATGTTCGACGGTGCATTTGTACACCAAACGGCCACCAAAGTTCGATTTGGCTGGATTGCCATTTCGATTGGAATGTCGGCAATCGATTCATTGTTTAACATTTGATAACTGAAAAAAATATATTACTTGCTGTACATTTTCAATTTTCCATTCTGAGTAGAAGACAGTGTTTGAAGAAAAAAAATGTCCGTTACCCATTTTCGGTGTTAAATTTTCTGGATCGTCGTATGTATTTGTTCCACCATGGTGGATCCATTACAATTAAATCATAGTCATTGCTTTTCAATTCAATGTGTTGAATGTCAGCGTTTGAAAAACTGCAATTGGCTGGAATAATATGCTTTTCTCCATTAAATTCACAAATCACAGGTCTATCGAAATTATTTTTTCCATTGAATTGTTTCGTGTACGAACATTCGACCGTCTGCCATTGATCCAAGCATAATTTCATTTGTTCGTTTGTCAATTTCGTCCCATCATCGCTGGTTGAATTTAATAGTTTTCTTTTGCGGCATTCATTCAAGAATTCGTTTGTTCTTAGTTTTATTCTTTCAATCTGAAAATTAAACATTTTAAATGATGTGTTTCAAATGAAAAAAAAGAAAAATAATAAATTACCAGCTCATATTCATGTCGATGTTGTTCTTCTATTTGTTGTTTTGTTTTGTCAATAATTTTTCGTTGTCTTTTCTTTGTTTGAGAATCTTCGGCTTTGTATCGATATGGAACATTTAGATCAAATAAATCGGGATTGATCTTATATTTTGTCTCTGTGCCGCCATCATTTGAAATGCTCTCATTATAAATTCGATTAATAAATTCTTCGTGCGAAATTAAACAACAATTTTCTGAACAAAATAATAAACTCATTTCAATTTGATTACAAAGCCGGCTCAATTCAATGTTACACGAAAAACATTGACGAATTTGAGGTTATGAACAATACATATGTCAAATTGATGTTAATTTTTTTCAAACTATTTTATTCGTTAAAAGTGGTACATCATTTGGAAAACTGGCTTAAAACGAAAATTGGTTTAGGAACGTTGTTTGCGTTTACTATTTTTGGCAAAATATTCATCGATGTCTTTCAGTACTTTTTCTTGTTGAACAATTCGATATCGTTCACTTTTCTTCTCCGATCGTTCAAGACAGTATTTACCGACGCGAACCAATCCGATGACAAGGAACACAGCCACCACTGTCCATAAAAGACAAGCTTTATAGTCAAATTCTTCATTCAAAAGTTTACTAAACGTTCTCGGATAAGTGTTTATAGTGGATTTTTTCTGCAAAATATGAAAATCAAAATTGAATATATAATATTTTCATATCAAAATGTATCCTGCATGCACCTTTTTTTCATTTCTGGTCGCATCACAGTCGGAATTAATAATGATGATTCGTTGAATGGTTGGTTTGTCAAGTTGACGATAATCATAACACTGAACGTCTTGTGTTAGTTTCCTCGAATTCTCGAGTCCAAAGTCATCAAATTCAAATCCAAATTCAATGTTCGAAACTAAATGATCACGTTTTGACAATGCCATTAAAAGCCACGAACAATTCCAATGATTATTATTCAAATGCACCGTTTCAAATGTTCGGAATGCCGTTAAATTTATTTCGTGATATTGATTATTTTGTAGATCGATTGTTTTAATTTCGGCAGCCTGTTCGAGAAATTCATACATTTGCAATTGATTTGATGATAGATTTAGTGTTTGCAATGTTTTTAAATCGGTAAATGTAAATTGTTGAATTGAACTAATTTCATTGTACGATAAATTTATCGATTCAATTGACGTCAGCGATGCAAATTGATTGTCGAGCAAAAGTGTCAATTTATTGTGCGATACATCTAAATGTTTCAAATTGGTGAGATCTTTCAAAGCTGTTGATGGTATGGATGCGATTTGATTGTGACTTGCATTCAAAATCTACATTTAAAAAATATATATCGGAATTGAATTAGGTTTTAAGTTTTAAAAGATGGGGTTAAAAAAGAAACAAAGGGTACCTCAAGAGCTTTTAGGCCATTCAATGAATGAGTTTTAATGGAAATCATCGAGTTATGGCTAACATCCAAATGCAATAATTTCGAATTTTGTTGAAAAGCATCTTCGTCCAGTCCAGTATAGTCGTTCAATGCGTTTTCACTTAAATTCAAATATTCCAATCCAGCTAAATTGTAGAAAAATTTCGAATGGATTGTCGTCAATTGGTTGCCATTCAATTTCAATGTCTTCAAATGTGTGGTCGTTGTAAATGCGTACGAATCAATGAAATTGATTTGATTATAACTTAAATCCAAATCGATCAATCGTAATAATACTTTAAATGTTGAATATTCGATTTTTTTAATTTGATTTTTTGCCAAATTTAATGTTTCGATGTTCAATGAAAAATCGAAAAAACCCTCCGGAATTTCGCCAATTGCATTTTCCATTAAAATCAAATGTGCTAACATTGGATAGCGTCGTAATGCGATTTTATCTAAGTGACGTATGCCATTTTGATAAAGATTCAGTTGATTTAGTTTATCTAAATTACTTGTTGTCCATTGTTGTAATAATGTTAAATTTGCATTTCCACCAATGGTTAACGTTTCCAAATTATCCAAACCATTGAATGCAAACGTACTTATTGTTGAAATTTTTGTGCGCACAAATTCAATTGATTTTATATTTAGAACATTGAAAAAGATGGCATCCGGTAAGGCGGGAAGATTACAATCAAAAAATGCAAAATTTAAAAGATGTGAATTAACCGATTTAAAATCGTCATTAATATTACGTAAATCGTCCAAAGTACAATTTTTAATAATTTTTACGTCATTTTGTTCACTGTTTATCCCATTAAAATAACACACGAAAAGAACGAATGCGATAAGAGAATTTTGACCCATCATCGACAGCCGGACAAATCAGTTTAAATTTCGATTTTATCAACTATAAATGCGGAACTGTCTCTTTACAATACTTTTCGAATGCGCCAGAAACGTTTGAGTTTAATCTTTCTCACTGATATTATATGGACACAAATCAAGCTTAACAAATTGATAGACATGGCATTCTCACGAGAATAAAAATGTGAAGAAATTATCTTTTGTGTATCACAGATAAGATACACAAGATATAAGATTAAAATTGAATTTATGCAGGATTCAATGTGATTATACATGACGACAATTATAGTGTGACTGATCGTGTCGTTCTTATTTTATTATGTTTATAAGCTGAGAATATACTGTTTTTTTACGAAAGAAAAAGTAAAACGCATAAACACGAAATATTCTATTGAAACTGTTGGTTTTTATATTCATTCTCAAAATTGTGATCCGAATATAGCGTATCTTAAACGAGTAAAATGAGTTATTTGGTCGTTTTTTTATTATATGGTAACGTTGCAGCGTATGGGGAATGTATTTTGTCTTTCGAAATAATAATTGGAATTTTGGCACCTTTTTAAAAGTACTCGTCAAGTTTTAATGATCAATGACTGATCATTAAATCTTACTTCAAATGACTGGAAAAATTCAATGAACAAAGTCTATAGCAAGGTTTCGAATTTTGTGGTATCACGTGAAGATACTCTCTATCTCTCGGCGAAAACTCTTTTATTTTAGCGAAACTACATGCTCAGCAAAGATATGCCGTGGTTCATATTTTCGAACTGAACGACAATTGATGTGGAGGCTCTAAAATACATCTGAATGTCATATGTTGTTGTTGAATTGTCCAAATATGCAATTATTCTAATTTTGGTTGTTGTTGACAATTTTTTATAATAATCAATGATTTTTTTTTTTAAATTTTCCCTAATGAAGTAACGTTTTCCAATTGAATGTTTTTGAAACAAGCCAGTTAAACCAACTCCTGTTGAATTTATCTATAGGACAAGGAGCGGAGATGCGTGAGACTCAAACATGTGCTTCTTCTTCAAAACAATACATACACAAGCATCACATGTACAGCAGAAGTCAATAAGTATTCATCATAGAAACAAAGCTGAGTAGCGTGCGCATGTATTTGTGTTTGCACTGCTGTTATGGCGTATACTTTTGATGTTTGTGAGTTAGTGTGTATGTATTGTTTTGAAGAAGAAGCACATGTTTGAGTCTCACTCGTTTATATGTAAATTACATAGGCATTTCCAGGCCATGCTATAGGATAATGCATTAAATGTTTGGGCTAGGTTGCCGACATAAATATATATAAAACATCTTTTAAAATGTCTCTTTTAGTTTCGCTTCAAGGCCGTTAGTAACAGCTTGTTACTATAAAAATGATAATGCAATGAGAGTATCAAATTAAATTGATTGTTCTAACAGACTGATTTTGGAGCAAATTTTTTTTTATTAATTAAAAATGTTTACTTCATTTTCAGTACAAAATTTATGTGAATTCTAAAAAATTAGTGAAGTTTTACTAGGTTAAAAGAAAAGTATAAAATAATTTGTCTATACCGAAATAAAAGTGAAAATAAAAAAATATAGGTTGAGAAAAATGACCATACACAATGTGTTGCACACGAATCATCAAATTAGACTATTTTCCTTCATTTGCGTCTTTTTGAATACGTCTCATACAAATGTTTCGTGGCAAAGTAGATAAGCTCAGCAAAGCTTATAAAACTGCACCCAAGGAACAATGCTGCAGCTCCACCGATCGATACTTTTTAATTAGCAAAAAAAAAAACAGTATTTTAGACAAAAAATAGTTAAAAATATGAGGTAAAACTGATACACACCAACCAAGAAATGAAGACCAAACTTAAGATCTCGTGCGATTCGAATTTTTTTAATTTTTGAATTCAACACAATCATAATATTATACTGTAATCTATTTATTTGCATGAATGAATATTCGACTGAGTTGCATTGCGGAAAACATGAACAGTTTTTTCTGTAATCATTCCAATGATTTTTCAATAAACAAACCCTACAACGTTATGGAAACAATCGATTAAAATCATATTGAATATTAAACTGACACATTGTTTTACATTCCAGTGAAGTTGCAAATTGGTCCTAGTCCTGAAATTTATACGATAAGAAAACTATTTTCAGATAATAGTGTGAAACGTGTGTAAATAAAAACCAATCACCGATTTTGTAAAAGAATGGTCGACATCCACACAATTTAACTGCAGCATCAGCACTGCATTCCATCAAACACAGGTTTTGTGTGTACACACCACGCGGATAGCTGCGATTAGATGTAATTTCCTCATCAAATCTACACTTGCGAGTCTCAATGCCGAACATTTTAGTACGGTTGCTAGTGAATACTCCACCTATGTCTATTTCAAGTTGTGTGGAATTATAGACACTTGTAATATTCCATTCAGTTTGTGGAGATTTTCTTAGATTGAGAATGTCGTTTGATCCATGCAAATACTTTGATAAACATATTATTTTATGATAGTTTTTCGAAAAGATGATAGTTTTTCTACTCACAATCATTGCTCTTTTGAAAGGTCTTACAAAATTTGACCAGTTATCACACGGAACAACTATTCCACACTCCATCGAAGGATTATACCATCCTCTATGTTTTTCCCACCTTTTCAGAGTTAGTAAGTTTCAGATAAGTGTTATCGAAATAAATAAATCATGACTAGAAAATTTTCTAAAAAGAAAACTGTGAACAAATCAATATTGCTTTTGACCATTTTAGGTTCGACAGTGCTAGTTTAATATGTTTGTACCAGTAATGGGCGAGCTAAATTTTTGAATGGGTAGTCAAATTCTGGTCGGAAATCAAAAGAATTTTTCACTCGAAAAACACTAGCAAATCGAAAAATCGAAAGATTTTTTCTCACTTTCCAAAATTTAGGACCAAAAAAGGTCCTCGCACTTCGAAAGAAAAACCCTAGCAAATTGGAATAATTTTCGCGAAAAAATCTTCTCAACCAAATCACAGGGGGGGGAAAACTTCCCCCCTCTTCGCCCATTACTGGTTTGTACCATTTATTTGGAATATCTGCTATGAAATGGTTGGTGATCCCAGAGAACGTGTGACATATTCCAGCTTCTGTTATAGTTGGACGCAACACTATATGTAAATCTCCGGACGATGGAGTGTTTGTTTTCAACTGCAAAAATTAAGATGAGAATTGGATGGTAAATTAAAACTGGAAAAATAATACATTCATTACTAGTCAAAATATTAAACAAATTGCATACGTTTGTCACGACATTCAACAATTCTTCTCCACTGAGTTTTTTGAATAGTGACATATTTTTAAATTTATCAATCAAGTGCATGCTGCCTGCAGTTATCGATCCGATTATTGTCATGTCGTGACGATAGTCTTGATAATCTTTTGAATTATAATCGATCGATAAATTTGTGGCGTGTTGGTAAAACTCTTCAATATAACGTTCATTTTCATAATCTGTGCAAACGGTGACTCCAGGGACAGTATACTTCCATTTATGATTGTTTGTGTCCAGAGTTAATAGAAATGGATCGGTTATAAATCGAGCGACTTGATCGAAGCACATTGAAAACGTGAAGTAGGCGAATGATAATACCAAAAGTAGCCAACCGATTCTACGACGAAACGTCAAATATAACTGATTCATGTGTCACATATTCGAAATTTCTATTTATTCAAACCTTTCAAGTGCAGTATAATTTCTATTGACTACATGATTGAAGCCATGCACATTTAAACCTCGAAACAAGTTTAATGAAAAAAAATTCTGTGAAAATCGAAGCACTTTCTTGCACTTTGAAAATGAAAAACTTTTTGAAATCACACGAAAACATCCGGAGAACACATAAACTACAGGCCATAAAAGAACTTTTATCAAAGAAATGAAAATTGTTGAAAATACTCCAAGAGCCATATTGAGAGTTGTTTTCACTGCGTGACTAATTCAAACTGACCGCAAGTTTGAAGTTATCCTTAAAACTAAACAATTTTTAATGTAACAGCGTATATCTAATTAATTACGAAATATATAAAATAAACATTCCATGCTTGACAATATATTTATCAAAAACCAATTAGTAAGATTTTTAATTTTATTTTAAATTTTATGTGAAATAAAATAAAATTCTAGGAATTACCCATACATGATTTTTGGATAGGATAGATCCGTAAGATCTCCGCAAGATCCGGATCCAAGCGTGCGTACGTAGCCGCATGATACATACATTCGTTATTCCGTAATGCTATGACATGCGAATCAAAGTATGCGAAATAAGAATAACGAATTTTTGTGCGTATTATATATGTATGCATCATGCGGCAGCTCACGCACGCTTGGATCCTGATCTTGCGGATATCTTACGCATCTATCCTATCCAAAAATCATTGTATGGAATTACCCCCTCTGAAAATCTGAGCTCGCACATTACTGATTTAAATAATATGATATTGTATGCATAAATTCAATCAAATTAATTTTTTGCCGACTCATATGAGTGCTGAAAAAATCAATAATTCAAAATGTTCGATTCACATGATTGTTTCATTTTGATTTTCATTGAAACAAATTAGAAAATTTTCACACAAGGCATACTTTATTTGATTTGCATGTAACAACGTGGTTCATTAAAAAAAAAACAGAACGAAATTACCTCTTTAATTGGTTGAAAGGAAAAAATGTTTTTCAAAAAACAGTGGGAATAGACAAGTGAATTCTGTTATTAAATCGACTTATAAAATCAATAAATTTGTGGAAAATGTGATTTTAAATTTACAAAAGAAAGTTATAACCGCCCATACTAGGAGCTCGGAACTTGAAAAAAAAAAAAACATCAAATAAAGACAGTTTTGTATGAATTTGGTATGTAGCGACCAATATTACAAATATTCGTGATTATCGTAATTTTTTACAGCTCGTTTACAGCAACGATTTGAAACACACACAACACAAAATAAAATTAATAATCATGTTATCATTGCATAAAAACAATTTTCAGGCTAAAAATTTACATTTCTTTCACAAAAAGAATAAATTAATATCTTTATAGTAAGCCTGTGTGATTTTACAAATGACATGTACCATTTGCCGCCATTTTGCGTATTTACGATAATCAGGAATATTCACGAATATTCACAAAATGCACCAATATATTCGTGAATATGCAAGATTTTTAACGAATGAAAAATACTTCCGAGCCCCTAGCGCCCATATGAAACACTGGCGCTATTCGACGTTATGCAATGGCACAACAGAACACGAATGTACTATTGTACACTGACTTCGGCTCTGTGCGACGATTAGAAACAAAGTGAACCACGCATTCCCAGCAAATTATATTTCTATGCCGTGGATGGCAGCAGCGCTGCGTGAAACTCTGAATTAAAATTTACGCAAAACCCAAATGTATATTATTTCGGCCAAACTGAGAAACGAAGCACCAAAAAATAGACCAACGATGCTACCAAGGGTGATGACTAGGTCGAGATAGTTGAACGATACCTCTCGTGTCAATTCTAGTTCACTTGGCTCATTTAGAACTTGAATCATTACTGAATTAAATCCTGATATTGTGTTATCCTCTTTGATTTTACGTCTCATATGTCTACCATGGTCATAGTACCTGCAAGTACGTTAAAATGTTTATAATGTCAGTACAACAATAGCAACAACAACAAGGGAAAACTGACTTACCCAATCAAATCAACATGCATTGGGTTACAAGACGGAATACACGGCTTAACATGTCTGATATACTGACCATGATGCCACCGAGTATTACGTTTCATTAAATTAAATGTTTTTTGTTGAACGGCGTGATATCCAGTAACATTAATTTGTACTAAATTTTAACTTTACATTGATATCACAAAGAGTCG